TGCTTTTATTACTTAGATTAGATTAGGCATCCTTCAGTCTCGAGAAACTATGGTAACGTGCTCTGTATGGAGGACTTGGAACTTTTATTTCTTATGGTACTTTTATCTTGCCTTTCTCTTGCAGTGAGCTTAGGGCAGTAGAGATCAGACCTGGGCAAAATGTGGCCTTCCAGATGTTGCTGAACTGCAACTCCCAGCAATCCTAGCCCACACAGCCAATAGTGAGGAGTGTTGGGATTTGCCAGTCAGCAACATCTGGAGAGCAGCACTTTGCCCAGGTCTATGGATTACCTTCTCCCCATTATCTTAAGAACAGCCCTGTGAGGTTGATCAGTTTGAGAGGCAGGAACTGGCCCCAGGTAACCCAGTGCCTTTCATGACTCAAAGGGGAACTAGAACCCAGATGTGACACTATCCATTATACTATAGGAGCGCAACGGAGTACAAAAAAAGAAAGACATGTCAGAGTGGGATTGCTTCTCCCAAGCAGTACAGTGAGGGACGAGCATGGCCCACTAACATAGAACACTGGGCATCTGGGGGGAAAGAAATGGAAAAGAGGTGAAAGGATGTGGAATAGTGAATTCTAGGAGAGAGCCAGGCTGGCAGCCAGTCTCAACAGGAGGACTCTCCGCTGTAACATTTTCCAGCATCACCCATTTGAGCAGAAATTATTCCTCTGAATTTGGAAGCTGTCCCTGGAATCCACCAGCACACACTGGTGTCAAAGGTCAGGAAGAGTGGCTTTTGAGTGGAATTGGAGAACTTCATGGAGGATGAAGCTGCCAGTGGCTGCTAATCGTGATGGCTGTAAGCAGCCTTGGGGGGGGGGTTTCACAGGGAGCCTGGGGGGGTTATATATTCTATCCAGAATGGGGGGGGGGCAGGAGACCAGTTGCTGAAGAAAAAGAGTCCAAGAGGGCTGTTGCCATCAAGTCTCGGAAGCATCCGATTGACTGTTGCAGGAAAAAGGATGCTAGACTAGAACAGACCTTGGTCTGATTCAGTAGAGCTTATCTTCTTCAGAGCCTACCTTATTATCAAGTCAAGTTAGATCATCATCCATGCAGCTCAGTACTGTCTACTCTGATCAGCCTTGGCTCTCTGAGGCATCAGAGAAGAATCTTTTCACATTATGTCTAGCAATATGAGAGGTTGTACTTGGGATCTTTTTTGCATACAAATCCCAGGATTTGCCACTGAACATTTTCTGCTTTCCCATGTCTTTGTGGTGTCCTTAAAGCTGCTCACAAAGAACACTCCTCAGGCAAAATCTGTATTTGTGGAAGCAGCAGGTTGGGTTTAAACATTCAATTTGCAACCTGACCCTGAAAAAGTTAACCTTTTTTTGGATCAGAGTCCCTCACACAGTATGATTGGTGGCCGTGCTGGCTAGGGGATTCTGACAATCGTAGCCCACAAAAGTGACCTTCCTGCTTACAAATGAACTCACTTCCGGAACCTGGGTAATGCTCCTGCAAAGCTCTCACAATCACACTTGCATGTCCATACACATAGACATACACACACAGCCTTGCTGTTTAGTGTTAGAATAAAAAGTCGGAGTGCAAGCATGTGCTGCTTTGGTAATTATTTTATGTGGCTTGTTGTTTTGTCAGTAAGAAAACTTGTTTCATTGGATGCATTTGGACTTGGGTTAGCTGTCATTTCGCCAGTTGACCTTGCCATTACAGTGGGGTCTTGACTTGAGAACTTAATCCGTATTGGAAGGCGGTTCTCAAGTCAAAAAGTCTGTAAGTCAAGTCTCCATTGACCTACAGTGCATTGAAAACCGATTAATCCCATAACAGGCCGTTTTTGTTCCATTTTGGTTTTTTTCTGGTCTGTAAGTCAAATCTCAGTCTGCAAGTCAAACCTAAATTTTGTGGCCAGAGAAGTCTGTAACTCAAAAAGTCTGTAAGTCAAGCCGTCTGTAAGTCAAGGGTCCACTGTATATAAACACCCATATAGGATGAGTGAACCTAATACAGTGGACCCTTGACTTACAGACATCTTGACTTACAGACTTTTTGAGTTACAGACTTCTCTGGCCGCAAAATTTAGGTTTGACTTGCAGCCTGAGAATTGACTTACAGACCAGAAAAAAAAATATGGAACAAAAACGGCCTGTTAAGGGATTAATCGGTTTTCAATGCACTGTAAGTCAATGGAGACTTGACTTACAGACTTTTTGACTTGAGAACCGCCTTCCAATACGGATTAAGTTCTTAAGTCAAGACCCCACTGTAGGACTTTCAAGGCAAGTGAGATATTTAAGGAATGGCTTTACCAGTTGCACTCCCCTAATGGGATGCCATGGCTGAGTGGGGATTTGAACCCTGTTCTCCAGAGTTCTAGTCCATCACTCTATCCACTACACCACTGGTTCTTAACCCTGGGTTACTCAGGTGTTTTTGAACTGCAACTCCCAGAAACCCCAGCCAGCACAGCTGGTGGTGAAGGCTTCTGGGAGTTGCAGTCCAAAAACACCTGAGTAACCCAAGGTTAAGAACCACTGCACTACACCACACTGGATATACAAATTCTGGACTTTAAAAACCAACAAATTTGCATGGATTTCCTCGTCAGAGGCGTGTAATAAGGGGAACTGTATCCACCAAAGCCACCACTAATCTATTGGCCTTTGAGGAGCCATAAAGTCAAAAAAATACAGTATTTCTTCAATATCGGTGCCCCGCAATAGCTTACTACTTGCATACATACACTATTGGAAGGGGGATCTTTTAATATCTTCTTTCTATTTCCCAGCTGTAGTGACACAGGAGAACCGAAGAGACCTCTAAAGTAAACAGCTGTGCCCTCAAGTCTCAGAGCTGAAGGAATATTAAAGTTTGCAGGAGTTGAGCAGGGCTGTTAACAATCCAGTCAGGGTTTTAGAGTCACTAATTCGAAAGACCCTGTGAAAGTCAGATGCAACCTGATGGCATATAACAAGGAGAACAGCTTTCAGACCACTGACTGATGTTGTGCCAGCACTTCCCACTCCAATCAGTCTGCTGATTCAAACTCGCTGTCTGGTTTGAAGTTAGCCATGTGTTTCATAATTGCCCGCAAAGGCAACAAGTAGCCATGATAGCTGCATTCAGACACAATACAGTGTACTCAACTTAGGGTGAATGAGTCGTAGCATCAGTGGTATGCAACAACCAGCCTGAGCCTTGAGCCTTCACTTCAGTTTTCAAGTAACTGCAGGGTCAGCGTTTTGTCTGAACCTGAATAGCTTGCAGTTTGTCTTAATGAGAGACTGGAATGTAACCTTTTTTGGACTACATCTCCCAGAATACCCCAGCAAGCATGGTAAGCACGCTGCAGTCTTAAACAGTGTGTGTGGAGGTATCCTTCTCCAGATTTAAACATGGTTTACTGCTACTAGCCCACTTAAAACCACGATTTGTTTCAAGAAATATTAGTTAAGGCTAACAACAGTTTGGGTGTGTGTGTGTGTGTGTGGATGTAACACTATTATATTGCAGTTAAATGAAAATGCAAAGCAAAAGCTTCTCTTGCTTGGAGTATTTGCCTAAATGAGGAGGAGATTCACATGTCATGAATGTGAGTCTGTAGTTTAGTGTTACTTCTCCAAGAGGTCAATGATTTGCAGTTATGTAGGACAGCCACATTCAAATCTTTCTGCTTTAAAAAAGTTTTGTATGATCTATATGTGTTAAACATGTTGGTTTCTCCCTGGAGACACTTCATGTCTAGCAAATTTATCATATATTACAGCAAGCATCACCTTGCTGGCAGACTGGATTGGCCCCTGTCTTCAAACTCTGATAGTGTAATGAAATTCAACACTTGCATTTTTTTTTCACTCCTCGGCTGTTCTTAGTGTTGATTCGATGAGGCTAAACTATTTCTGTCCACTTTGCCATAGCATGTACAAGCAAAGTTATTTGTTTCTGTTCCTTTGCATTGTGGAAACCAGCTTGTTGGATATAGCTGGAGATATTTTTCCCAAAGGAAACAAGGAATAGAGTAACTAAGGAGTCATTTGCCTGTAGTCAACTGCATAGCCTCTTTATTGTGATTTCCTTTGGGAATGCTTCCATGTACTGCTGTTCTGTAGATCACTAGGTTTGAAGTCCATATTTTACAGGAACAGAAGCATTTAAGCTATAGAATTGTTACCAGAGTTCAGGGCATCTTGAATCTTAAGCACCATTCAGTGTACTATCGAGGGCTTGGGAAGCAACAGTTACAAAAAGTAAGATTTACAAATACAGCAGTAATTAAGGCATAACTAAAGTACCATAGGATGGTAGGATCTCAAAGACTAACTTTATCTTTTTAAATTGCAACCTGTCACAGTCACTTTTTACAGTTAACAGGATGCATGTGGTCTTACCAGTGAGGTGTGCTTTGTATCAGAGATAACCAGCTTATTCTATTCTGGTGTGTATTATAAGTAATTTCAAATCACACTAAAGAGTTGCGCTTTAGATTTACAACTAACCATGTGGTCCATAAGTAAAAGCAAAAATTAGAGCCAGAGAATGCTTTTATTAGGATCACTAAAAATATTATTTAAAAATGTAAATGTAATGGTAGCGATTTCTGGTGGCATGGGAACTTTAACTGTAACTAATTACATTTTAAAGTAACTCTCATTTAGTGCTTAGACCTCTGATGTTTTACTTCTGATGTTAAACAGGAAAGAGAAAAAGAATACAAGTGGGTGTAGAGAGTGTTGTTATTCTCTGCGCACCCAGCCATTGTGACTGTAGTTATCTTTTTATTCTGGTTGCGTCAGGGAGTATTTGCTATCCCCCTGTAGGCATGTAAACCCTGTTGTTTTAACCAAGTGATCTTTGACTTGCATAACATCAAGCTAAGAATAGCTGGTACAGTGGCAGAGTGCTCCACCATGGAGTGATTATGCTCTGCAATTGCTAATCAGATTTTGCCCAGAAGCTTTCCAACAGTTTTATGCAACTACTTGCAAGAGAGGGAGGGAGGTGAAAACATGCTGGACTTTTCATCTCTACAAATGCTGTCTATCCTTCTCTCCAGGTGACGATGGCAGACAGAGCTGCGGCTGAGAGGGCATGCAAAGATCCCAATCCCATCATTGATGGCCGGAAAGCAAATGTCAACCTAGCATATCTGGGAGCAAAACCAAGGAGTATTCAGACTGGTGAGACAAACATCTCTGGCTTTCTATCTCCCCATTTTGCTTAGCCTTGCTTAAACGAGTTCATGGTTTCTCTACATTTGAATGGGACAGGGCTCTCTCTCTCTCTCTCTCTCTCTCTCTCTCTCTCTCTCTCTCTCTCTCTCTCTCTCTGTGTGTGTGTGTGTGTGTGTGTGTGTGTGTGTGTGTATTCTGCGCCCTAGGAAGCTCATTCTGTTGCCCAAATAAACTGCATGTTAAGCTGATTTTGTGCAGTTCTCCTGCCAAGATGATGGGGGTTTGAAAGCCATTGGCAATCTCTTGTTAAATAATGGAGGGGGAGAGGTGGGGAAAGGCGGCAGCAGGCCTGTAGCCGTGTAAGGTATAGTTCCAGGCAGCCAAGTGTGTAAAGCTTGAGTGCTTATGGGCCAGCCACAGTTGGATGGCAGCTGGCAAGATCATCGGTCTGCACCAGCTACTGTACATCAATATCAGAAGCAGACTGGAGTGTTACATCAACTAGCTACAGGTTGCTGATGGTAACTTTGAAAAGTTCCCTTTTTAAAATTACCGTTCCCAGAACCTTCCAGCCAGAAGGAATAGTGGCAGATGTTCAGAGTAGATTTGATTTAAGTCAGTAAGACCTGACTTTAAAATCATGATTTTAAAATGTAAAGACTCATTCTTGCTGAGATGTAATCTTTAATATTTGCAACTAGACGAAGATTTCATATTTAGAATAATAACCTGTCAGATTCGTAAAACAGCTCCATCACAACAGATTCTAGGTTAGTAAGTTAATTACTCGTATTTGGAGAACTACTTAAATTGTTTTATTTAGCGAAAAGAGTAACTACACAGCATACATATTTTTGTATTTGCTTAAATATCAATGTGTTCATTGTTCGTGCATAGAACAACAATGGGATTAAGGTCTTTTCCTGAACATTTTATACCATTTTTACTATGAAAAAATGCATGTTATCTCAGCTTGGATAACTTGGATTAATTGAATTAGTTTACAAAAATGTAAATATTGCATGAATATACAGCTTCATGCTGTATAACTAAGCTCTGTTTCATGCTGAATAACCTCTCAACTATAATGTATCTTAAATATAAAACTGTATTAGATAGATTTCTCCTCCAGAAGCATTTCATTAAAAGAAATGTGATTTAAATTTTAAAAACTGATTTTTAATTTTTAAAAAACCATTGATTTTATAAGCTGAGCTTATAAATGGTAAAACCCCCATTTGATGGTATAGTCTGAGGATTTTAGGTTTTTTTATTAAAAGAGAAAAAATTAAAGTGGGTTTGATTTAAAGCAAAATGAATCAGATTTTTGAACAAATTGATTTAAATATTTTTTGATGATTTAAATAAAATATATTTTAAATTTTAAATCATTTAGATTGCAAGTTAATTTTTTTTTAAAAAAATCATTAATTTTTATCCAACCTGAATAAATAGACACATTCTCTTGAACAGGGAGTGTCTGTGTTCAATTGCATTTTTGAACAATCACAATGGGGAAAAATACGTTGAACTGGGGCAGAAAAAAACATGCAAAAGGAAAAATGACATGGAAGTTTTTCCAAAGGTTAGGCTGGTTGTTCTGATACACAGATTTGAAAAAACTACTGTTCACAATTAGTTCTTGCTAAAAGAGTTACAATTTGCTTTGATCTGAAATGTCTCTGTTTTTCTCTCACACATGCACACACCCCTTGGATCAATGCTCCCCAGCCTTGCGTCCTCCAACGTTGTTGGACTACAAATCCCAGAAATTCGGGCTAGCGCAACTAGTAGTGAAGGCTTCTGGGAGTTTTAATTCAAGACGCATGCCAGCACTGGATAAAAAGGCAAGGCCAGCCATCCCAAAGTTGGAAACCATTGCTTTAGATCGGGGGTCTCCAAACCTTTCACCGTGAAGGCCACATAATATATTTTCCACATTTTTGAGAGCTGAAGGAATGGGTGCACGCTCCTGCATGCATGCACTCCCGCCCGTACGCACGCCAGCACTGGATAAAAAGGCAAGGCCAGCCGGATGTGGCCCGCGGGCTGTACTTTGGAGACCTCTGCTTTAGATGGAGGTGGGAGACTGACAGCAGTGTAATATATGCAACAGACAATAGGAAAAAGTTGAAATATAATTTAGGAAATATAGTGTGAAAGGGAAAAAAATGAGAGAATTTAAAAGCTCCACAAAACAAAACTCTAAATGTCATTGGATTGAGTGTGGCTTCCTCTGCATGAGGAGGTCTCTGCTTGGGTTGTGCTCACCAATATATAGAATACCCCATGGACTAATCTAACAAAAAAATGAGAGAGTTTAAAAGCTCCACAAAGCAAAACTATAAATATCATTGAATTGAATGTGGCTTTCTCTGCATGAGCAGGTCTCTGCTTGGGTTGTGATTACCAATACAGTGGACCCTTGACTTACAGACGGCTTGACTTACAGACTTTTTGAGTTACAGACTTCTCTGGCCGCAAAATTTAGGTTTGACTTGCAGACTGAGAATTGACTTACAGACCAGAAAAAACCAAAATGGAACAAAAACGGCCTGTTATGGGATTAATCGGTGTTCAATGCACTGTAGGTCAATGGAGACTTGACTTACAGACTTTTTGACTTGGGAACTGCCTTCCAATATGGATTAAGTTCTCAAGTCAAGACCCCACTGTATATAGAATACCCCATGGACTAATCTAACCTTTCTCTTATTGAATTTTATTTTCCCCTCTCCAGGTTTTACCTTAGGGGTTCAGCAGTTGCATCCAGCTCTCATCCAGAGGCCTTACGGGTAAGTGGGATTTGGTTGTTTGTTTGGTTTCTTATTTCATTAGCAGCTAGTTAAAAGTGAAATTAATAAATCATCATGGGGAAGTGAAATAACTGCCTTAGTTATTGGAGCATACCTTACCCACAGCAAGACTTCCTGGTTCTCACTTTCTGTTTTGGGTAAGATCTTTGAAAATATTATGCATGGATTCCTCTTGCCTCTTTCAATTTATTGTGGCTTCGTATCTGTCTGCATATGTCAAATTTCAGATACGATCCTTCCACGCCCTGCCTCCGTGGGTGAGTTTTCTCCGTTTTCTTCTTCCTCTTTCCTTTTCTGTTGAGCCTTTTTAGCTTGTGTGGCAGAGGTTGGGGATTGCCTTGCCTTCTGTTAATTTTTGTGAGAAAATTACTGTAGTAAAAAGCTTGTGTTTTATGATCTTAATAAAAAAAAATTATATGCTTATGACATAACACTATAATACAGCTACACTTTTATTAGTATTATTGATGTACAAGCCCCACTGAGAGCTTCTGTAGCTGTAGAGGACAGTATAAATACTATAAACAGAAGGGACTCAGTAAGGTTCAGCCAAGTATTTAATCCTCCCTTCCACTTACCATGTGCTACCCCTTCAAACAGGGGATTGGAATGCTAAAGTAGGGAGTCAATAGATAAGAGGAATAACAGGTAAGTTTTGCTTTGGAGTTCAAAAAGTAAGGTTCAGCCAAGTATTTAATCCTCCCTTCCACTTACCATGTGCTACCCCTTCAAACAGGGGATTGGAATGCTAAAGTAGGGAGTCAATAGATAAGAGGAATAACAGGTAAGTTTTGCTTTGGAGTTCAAAACGAAGCAGGGCAAAGGCTAACAGAGTTTTGTTAAGAGAACAAGCTGGTCATCACAAACACTCTTTTCCAACAACACAAGAGGCACTTCCACAAATGGACATCACCAGATGGGCAATACCAAAATCAGTTTGATTATGTTCTCTGCAGCCAAAGATGGTGAAGCTCTATACAGTGAGGGGGAAAAAAAAGAACAAGACCTGGAGCTGATTGTGGCTCATAGAAGAATTATACCAGAAAGATCTGGGTGTCCCAGAAAACCCAGATAGTGTGGTTGTTGACCTTGAGCCAGACATCCTGAAGAGTGGGAAAGAGTGGGAAATAAAATGCAAGGGAGATAGAGAAAGTTACAGAAAATTGAATGCAGACTTCCAAAGAATAGCAAGGAGAGACAAGAGGGTCTTCTTAAATGAACAGTTCAAAGATATAGAGGAAAATAATAGAAAGGGGAAAAACAGATCTGTTCAAGAAAATTGGAGATATTAAAGGAACATTTTGTGCAAAGATGGACATGATAAAGGACAAAAATGTTAGAGACCTTACAGAAGCAGAAGCGGTGGCAAGAATACACAGAGGAATTATACCAGAAAGATCTGGATGTCCCAGACAACCCAGATAGTGTCGTTCCTGACCTTGAGCCAGACATCCTGAAGAGTGAAGTCAAGTGGGCCTTAGAAAGCATGGTTAACAAAAAGGCCAGTTGAGGTGAGGGCATTCCAGTAGAACTATTTAAAATCTTAAAATATGATGTTGTTAAGGTGCTACACTCAATATGCCAGCAAGTTTGGAAAACTCAGCAGTAGCCAGAGGATTGGAAAAGTTCAGTCTACATCCCAATCCCAAAGAAGGGCAGTGCCAAAGAATGCTCCAAC